ATGAAATAACTATGAAAGGATTTACAGATTAGTCAAGTATTACATTCTAAAAATACAATTTAACCCTAGATATTCACTAGGATTATTTGTCTTGCTGTTTCTCCAAAATCAACAAGCAGACTCTATGTTTAAAACGGCTTTGTTTATTAGCCCTGATATCCTCCAAGGAAACACTGAACTTTGGTCTAGTTAATTAATTGTAAAAAAAAACACAAAAAGGCTTAGCATACCATAGTACAATATTTTTTACAATACATACCAAAATATTGTATTTGCTCCTTTCATCTTGAGTTCTCAGGTCCTTAAAACGCACCCTAGAATAATGTTATTTAGTTCAGCAAGTTTATCAACTTGATATCTAAACATTCGCACAAATGTGGAGCCTGTACTTAAATCAGAGCTTCCACATTTTCTTCTTGTTTTTATCTCCTAGCACATAAACCGTGTTGATTCTTACAGATGCTTTCGTAAGTAGCAGCTATAGCATGTGGAGCACTGAAAGCTATAAAAGAGCTGCTTGTCTGAGGGATGTTAATCATTTTTTAAACTTAGGGAGTAAAGTTTCAAGTAGTAAAATTCATTAGGGCTTAAAAAAGTGTGGGATGATATGGACAGCTCACTCTTTTCTGAAAGAATAAAAAAGACATGCAGAACTCCACGTAGGGTCATAAATTACACGATTTGAAATACTAAAACTGTGCCTTTGCATATTTGATTTTGAAATCATTAGTCTTCCTGCTGACTTAGACATCCTCTCAAAAATTTCAAAAGTAAGCTTGATGACATGTGTTTTGAGAAAATAAAATCTCTCTTTCATTTTAAAGTAGATGTCCTCTGTAGGCTGTATCTGTTGAAAGATTCCCTTTTACAGTGAGTGTTAGCCCTGTTATTTAGGTTGTTCCAAGCTTTCATTGCAGTCCTTTCAGGCATCTGGATAATTCAACACATTTCACTGCGCCTTCCTCCTCAGCATGAAAAAGGCCAGACAATAGTTCCACTTCCTTCAGCAATCACAAGTCAGGAGACAGTTAAAGAGAATCTCTAAGCTTAGCAGAAAACTACCAAGCTGAGGATAAACGTTATCTTTGAGGAGAGGAAAAAAAAGAAAGAAAGAAAGAAAAAAGCAAAAAAAAGAAAAAGGCAGTGTGCCCCTTTTGCACATAGGTAGTAGAAGATTATCACGCTTTATTACAGCTGTAGCAGAAAGAATATTAAATGACTTAAAGTTTCTTAACTTTAAATGCATATTCGTCATCCAGAGTATATACTTCTTAATTACGACACTTTCAAAATAACAGACTCACTGGTGTGAGATGACTAAATAATTGGATAATTTTTAACACCACAATTTACTAGCTTTGGAAGAAAATGTTATTAAGGTGATATTTTTGGAGACTTGTTTTGAATATAAACTTTATCCTTTTATTGTGTTGCATACTGTGACATGTGTTCCATTTAGAAAAGTTATAATGGTGCAAGGATGGACAAATTTAATCAGAAAACTGATTGGAAAAAAGTGATGTGTGTAAAACATTTCTGGTTTATTGCTTTTTCTTTGATTATAGTATTACAGTCTGCTAGCAATTTTATGGTTTGTAATACCAGAAGTTCCACTTCTAAGGTCACATAAACAGGAAAATCAAAGTGTTTCAAACAGAGTGTAAAAATACCTTTAACACTATTTAATCTTAATAGTGAATCACTTTAATGTCTACTGGAGTCTATTCTCAAGGTAGGAGATTTGATTTGAGAAACAATTTTTTACTGATGGTAAGCAGATTGCCCTTGTATCTTTTCAATATTTGCAGAACTATTTTGATTCAAAATATTTGACCTGTAAAAAATACAGTTGTTAGTGAGAGAAAAGTATGTTTTAATATATTACTGAGAGAAGCAAAGATTCATATAGCAGTGTCATTTTAAAGTATCACATAGTATCAAAAATAGTTGCCAGTTGTTCTAAGTACTAGTATCAATATACTTAATCTCAATTATGTAAGATGTAATTTAATTCTACTGTAACTTAATTATCTTGCCATTCAAAGGAAAATTAAATCATTAATAAAGATAAGAAACATTTATAAACGATGGCATACATTATTCAAAAAAACAAAGTTGGCAAAGATCAGTTTATTAAAAAGTAAGGTTTATTTACAAATGAAATATAATAAAACGTGCATTTTAAATTTATTCATATTTCAGAAAGTTGACCAACCTCTTGCTGCCATTTGGCCGTCATTAAAATCCTTTGAAATTGGAATAAATATATTTTCACTTTCCACATTTGTAAGCCAAAGGATATTAACTGTGCATGTTCAGTTAGTGAAATTTTCTCCTTCGCAAGTGGTAAATCTTTCAAAATCTATATTTAATTCACGTTGACACGATTTAGTGAAAGATGTTGTTTATTTTATTTCCATGATTTATGCTGGTGCACGCTATTGAAAAGAACAACATTTAGAAGTTCATTATTAACTCTACTTTTTTCTTTGTTTTGTTGACATAAGTTTCATAAATAAATGCAGGCTTGATAAACAAACAATCAAATTTCCCTTTTTCAGGTTGATTTGTGTTACAAGAAGAAGATTGATTCATTGAGAAACTATGAAATATTTAGAAATTGTGGAATACATAGTTTTAAAAAGGTTTGTGAAGACCAGTTTTACAGGATTCTAATGAAATCACAGTTCCTGCTCTGGGATCAAATAGCAAAATAGCATTGGAAATATTTTTTCCTTGTGACCTCCTCCCCCCCCACCCACCCATTTTGTTCAGTGAGCGTTCTGATCTGCTGGCTTTGTTTTAGGCCTCATGGGCATGCACACGAACACATGGACGCAGAAACACACAAATGTAGCAAAACACATATTTAGGTAGGACATTTAATTTCTTCTCCAGGGCAAAACCAGAGTGTAAGAGACCTTAACCGCAAGTGTAGTCTAAAAATTTAAAGTAGTAAATACACATAGAACAAAAGCTCTATTCTAGTTGTGCGAGGAACATAATACTCTTAAATTACTTTCTGGTTTCCATGGGGACCTTTTTGTTCTAAGATACCAATCATTAGATTTAACTCGGCCACTTAATATTATTTCTAATCAAGTGAAATGATTTCTCAACTGGGTAAAATGTCAATTACCAGCATTTTTAAAGGTGTTAAAATGCAAACTACTTGAGATTGCTGCTTCTTATGGCACAATTAAATCTAGAGGTCAATACAGAAAAATCCCTCCTCCCCTTTACGGGCAGAGAAAAGCTCAAAGCTCGTCGATCTGTATTGGTGGTTGGGTGGGCGGATACTTTGCTGGCTATATGTTGTTGTTTTTTAAATCCACCATAAGCTCAAAATAGTGGCAAGAATTAAAAAATGTGATGAGAAATTTTAGGCTGAGGAAAGATAAACAGTTCTCTCTCCCTTTGGCCAGTTTCTGAACCTTTCTTACACATTTTATAGAACATCTGGGCTTTCAGGTATATATTCTATACGATATACATACCCACACACACATATATATATGCACACACATATACTACATACGCTGACCAATCTGTTGGGCATAAATGATATGACTGGAGCTAGGAGTTGCGGCTCCTTTATTTTGTAGAATGCCTAAGTATTGTTTGTGTCACAATACTGGGAGCAAGCAGGAGCCCGGTGGGAGCCTGGAGCCTTAAGCCCTGGGCTGTGGTCTGGGGGAGGGGACGGGGTTGCGGGGTCACAAGCTCTTAGCTTTTAGCCTCAGCATGACCACAAGTTTTAAAGCATGAAGGGATCACGTGCTTTTCTTTGAGCTGTTAGTTATTCTGACTTTTGGGGTGTGCGTGTGTGTGTGTGTGTGTGTGAGAAATGCTTTGTTCTTTAGCTTTTTTGATTCTCAGTAGTTTAGCGGATGATTAAATTGTTTTCTAAAAGAAAAAGACAAAAATAAATCACTTCGTGTATCAAAATGTCCTACTTTCCTATGACCCATATCTTGCGCTCAGTTAATTTTCCCTTACACTGAACAGGTACTGAGATGGAATAAATTATTTTCGCCAGTTGGGAACTTGATCCAGACATTCTATATGTTATCAGCCCTTAAAAAAATTAAGAACAAGAAAATATCCTGGTAAAGCAATCTCAAAATACCTTATTCCGGGTATTGTTCTGGCTTTAAAGGGAAGGAGGGTGGGAGGAGGGGTGGGAGTTGGTGGGGCGAGTAGGAAGACTCTGGGAGGATGTCTCGTTTAATGAACTGTTAAAACTTTCAGAAAATGTTAAGCTAGCGAAGTCCCTCAACATAGTATTTCCACTTGAAAGCCTCTACTTAAACATTTCACTTTAGGGGAGCTACTTCTACTTGTACCCGTTTAAGAGGATGATTTCATCTTTTCCAACTCTCCTCTGTCTCTGGAACCAAGACACATAGAGTCAGAATGCCAAATGAAGACTTTTGATGATAATAAGATTTATTTGGGAATATTTTCCATAATCAGGGCAATGGGTCTTTTTGTTCTGATGGTGAAGGGATGTAGATATGTTTACTCATTGACCAGGAGCTCTGGCTGCAGCTGCAGGACACAATTAATTATGCTAATAGTTGGTGAGGAGCGGATGTAACTCCCTCACCCCCCCTTTTTTGGGGGGGAGGGGAATTTGGCAAAAGGGGAAGGAGACGCCCTGGGGTCGGATCACATGATATTATCTTCGCGCCACTTTCGCAAAACCCCTTTTTTTACTCCAGGTTTTGCTCGAGCTCAAAGGTACAGTTCTTATCTTGCTCTAATACAATGTTTCTTAAAGTCGGGTCTAAGATCTCTTCCCTCCCCCTCTTCTTCCCACAGCTAGTCGTTACCATTAAAGGTCGAAAGTTGCATTGCAGTCGGTGCAGTCTCACAGGAGGGATCTGGTTGGGTAGTAAACTTCGGGCTGCGTAGTTTCCAAAAAGTATCTGGCAGACGCACCAGGGTGGGCTGCAAGGTCTGGTTTGAGCGCTTTATGAAAAAGGGAGAAAGCCCACCTGTGGGAGTAACTCCCGTTGGAGAAATGAATGCGGTTCGTTGCATCACCCCTGACTCCTGAAGGGCGCTGGCCGTTCAGGTTGGACTCCATCGCGGGCCAGGGGCGGGAGAGGCCAGTCTTTTGTAATCTGCTGGCCTGAGCTACTACTGTGCATCAGGTTGAGAATCACATGGCGTCCTTGTCTTCTAGGCTTTGGGCTGCCACAATCGTCCGCGGTAACAATAGTGCGGGTGGGGGGTGTCCAGCTTCATTTTGCGCCCCCTCCCTCTTTCCTTATGCCCGGTTGCCTTCCAGTGCTTCCCTTCCTCGGACCCCGCGTACTCAGGGCTCTCTGATTTGCCTCATCTCCTGAATTCCATCCCCCCCCCCGCCCAGCCATCAGGCCCCCCCAAATCCCTCCTGCACTCGTGTCCGCCAGGGAAGCGGAGAAGGTGTAGTTTTGTTAGCGCATTTTGTCCAGTGTTTTGAGTCTGGTATGGTTAATTTCATTTTGATTGTGCATCTTAAACTAAGACATCATTTTATTTTCTTCAGAGTGTAGTTGGCTTTGGCCTTTAAGGAGCCCGCGCTCAATTGGTTCTCATTAGCTGTGGAATGAGAAGGGAAAACAAGATAATTGCACCCTATCTTCATTGCATGTGTGCGTGTACTCGGTGGCTGCTACCGTTAATGATACCTGCCAAGAAACCCTGATTTAGTGGGTGAGGGGAGCGCCTGGCAAAGGCGCAGCCCTCTTAACAGTAGCACAAGGTGCCAGAGGTTAAGACTTTCACGTGTGCCCAGAGTGAATATGCTGTGTATGTATTTCTCCCCTCCTCCGGCCTTAGGAGCACTTTCAGTCTAGCGGCGAGGTGGCGCGCATGCGCGCGCGGGGTGGGGGACACCCCGGTCCCACGGCTCCGTGGGCCTTGTCGTCTATCTCCGGTGGGGGGATGGGATGAGCGCCCTGGGAGCGGGACCGGACGAGATGGTAGCAAGCGCGCCATCCTGGGCCGGACGCCAGTGGCACCGGCTCCAGCATTGGACGCTGCCAGGGCCGGCGCCCCAGGCGCGCCTTTAATTAAGGAGTCCAGCTTGGGGGAGAGAGAGGGAAAAATGCCGACAGCGTTCGGCCCGTGGGTAACTGGGGCTCGGTGGGGATTTCACTTTGGCGGGGTGGGGGTTCCGTTTCCTAATTCCTGTGCGGGCCGGGTGGGCGGGGGCGGGCTTTTTTCCCTGGGCTATTAAAGGCAGAGGGGCGGGCTTTTCCCAGGGATATAGCCACGGCCGGAGAGCCAAGGGGACGGAGCGCTCCTCAAGTGGTGGCAGTAAGGCTTGTGGCCCCGCGTCGTTCTGGACCGGGACACTTTGGGGTGAGATGTTCGCCAGCGGCCCCATTTAATTTACTGAACTCTTTTTCTCGCTTCTCTTCCTCCTTGGGCTCCGCGGGAGGCTGCGCTAGCGCCAGGCACCCGGAGCGCTCTGGCGGCGCGCTCGCCTGGGGGTATATCTAGGGAGGGGGGTACGGGGAGAGGGATGGACGGTTCGGGATCGCCGCGCTCACACCACCTGCCAGGAGTGGGCGGGAGCCCGATCCTGCGCTCGGTTGCCCTGGCCGGTGGCTGAGGCAGAAGGGGGGACCTTCCTTGGGGAAGCTATGATGGGGAGAGTTGACTGGCTGGGTGGGAGGGGACCGAGCGGGAGGGACTTGAGAAAAGCAAAGTACCAGAGTGCAATTGAGGGGTAGCAGCGAACGCGCGGGAAATGACTCCCCTTTTTTCTTCCATTGCTGACCTTTAGGATCCTGGAAAACTTTGCTGGGGGGGGGGTGTGTGAAATGAGGGGGTGCACGTGGAGCGGAAAAAAAGGACTCCCCTCCCCCTTGGCTTCTCTCCCACCAACCCGGGAATGGAGGGGGAGGGAGGCGTGGGCTTGGCGCGTTTTTGGTGCTTTGAATGGAGAACTCCGTTTCCCATGATGCTTTGTTTCTTTCTCTTTAATCTCGGTGGCGGCCGCGGCAGCACGAGGACGGGAGCGCGTGGTGTGAGCAGCTGGAGCACACCCTGGGTGCGCGGGCGGCTCCCGGACTTCAAGCCAGCCTTAGGTAAGGGTGTGAGAGACGCGGGAAGAGGAAAAAGGGATACACAAAGGTCTGCAGGGGAGGGTGTTTGGGTTTTTTTGTTCTTTTTTCTTTTTTTGTCTTAAAGATTTAAAGAGATTGGAGAGGGACTGGCCAGCGTGCGCGCGATGTATCCCAGATGAAAGATTAATTAGGAAAAGGCAATAACTAGAAGGCGCGCTCTCTGACCGGCGCGGGGCCCAGTTATGCCATGTTGAGTCAGCAGATACTATGCATTTTGAGTCCAGTTGGGAGTATTTTTTTCATGGAGGAAAAAATCTTTAGAGACATACTCAGTGTAAGAGGACAAATGTTATTCTTCTCATTTCTGTACCACATCTGTTCTTCCCCAACAGAGAATTGATTTCAGATTCACGTATAATTTTTATGAACCAGTTGAGTTTTAAAGACTAGTATAGTGGTATGGGTACCATTATGAAAGTCCAACATTTAAAATTCCCTCGCTCATTTAACATATCACAAATTCTGTGTTCATAAAAAGTTTTATTTTTTTTCTTAAAATATATTCCATCGTGAAAGAGGTAAGGGAACCTTGTGAACTTTTTTCAAATAAGGGGTCACTTCCTTGCTGCACGTTCTTAGGTAACATAAGCACTTGGAAATGAGAGGTTTTCTTATGGAAGATAATGACATGAAGGAAAGAAGAGCTAATCTGCCTTCTTTGGGTTTAATGGAGAAAATGGGTCCATAAATGTTTAAACAGAAGTAGATCCCTTTGAAATAGATCAAAATGTGACATCTCTTAGCCATCTGTGCATTATGTGAAGACTATAAGGGCAGTGTTTCTTAAACCAGCTCTAAAATTTCTCTTTCTTTTAACGGGGTGGGGGCAGGAGCATTCATTTAATCTAACAGTCGCTTTCCGTATGCAGCCCACAGGCTCTGTATGAGCTCAAGACTCAAATATTCACCCTACTTTTTATATAATTTTCTTTTTCTGGGTCTGCTTCTTATAAAATCAGGGTGGATATAATGGGCCTGCAAATTGCAGAGATGCAGATACCAAGTTTTCTTAGATGGAAAGGGGGAGTCCAAATCCACTTATACTTAAGAATTGGACTTCTTGCAATTGCCAGTGTTATTCATGTTCAATTCTGTGTAAATAATTCAGATTATTAATATTTCTCAGGATTTGGTTGAAACTATGAAACCTGACTTGGACACTAAGCCAAAGGAAAGCTTGTTTTAGGAATATTAACTAGTAGTTTACTTGTTTAGTTTCTAATGCGTGTGTATGTGTTTTTTTTTTTTTTTTTTAACCAGGTGAGTCTGCGTGGATCTGTAAAGATGGAAAAGAAGAACTCATGGAAGACTTAAAATTTGCTACAGGAATAGGCCTTGGCCATGTAAAAGTGCTTACAGTGCAGGTAGCTTTTTGAGATCTACTGCAATGCAAGCACTTCTTACATTACCATGGTGATTTAATCAATGGCTACTGAGAACTGTAGTTTGTGCATAATTAAGTCATTGATGCTTTTGAGCAGCTTCTTATAATGTGTCTCTTGTGTTAAGGTGCATCTAGTGCAGTTAGTGAACCAGCTTAGAATCTACTGCCCTAAATGCCCCTTCTGGCACAGGCTGCCTAATATACAGCATTTTCAAAGTATACTTTGAACAATAATTTGAATAGGACAATTTTCAAAGGTTTGTTTTTGTTTTTCCATTGTTTGTTGGGAACAGATGGTGGGGACTGTGTGCAGTGTACAGTTATGTACAAAGGATAAGATTGGGTCCTAGTAGTACCAAAGTGCTCATAGTGCAGGTAGTTTTGGCATTACTCTACTGTAGTGTGGGCACTTGCAGTACTCTGGGATAATAAATCTCTTACTGATGGAGAGAATATTCAAAGATGCTGCTAGTCACGATTAGTTTTGCAGGTTTGCATTTCAGCGTATTGTGTATATCAGGCTGTGCAAATCCATGCAAAACTGATTGTGATAATATGTGCTTTCTACGTCTTTGTGAACACCTTCACGCACATCTCCAGCATTCATGCTCATTCATCCACGGGTGGGGATTTGTTGCATTACTTGTGTTCTATATAAAGTATTGCACTTGTCCCGGCCTGTGGAAGAAAGGAGGATTTTTATCAGCTTATTTTAATTTTAAAAAAAATTGTAAATTCTGATACTTAGTAATTGTAAAATGATCTGTTTTGCTGTTGTCGGGTGGATCACGATGCAATTTTGATTAGCATAATAGGAGAAAAATTGCACGGTATCCATCTGTAAACCGCAGGACCTTTGTTGGCGACATTCTTGATCAGTACTACAGGAAGATAGATGGTAGAATCCTTTCTGTAGCTACTGCTGTCAAAAAATATTTTGAGATGTATTTGAATTCCTAAAAACTATGATAACTCATTTTAAATAAAATGTATTTGAAAGTATGAAGTGTGTGTTTTGGAAGTTTGAATAATCAGATTGTTACTGAATGTAAACAAATCTCAAAATAAATGAAATTTATAGACCTGAGACAACTGGGCTCTTTTTTAATATTAACAGTGCTAGAGAATTTTTTTAAAAAGATCTCTTGGGGCAGGAGGTGTCCTGAAGGAAATTCGGGCATAGTTGTTTTTCAAGTTTGTATCTACATAAAGCACTGAGAGGACTGATTTGGGGGATATTTTATTATGCTAACAACATTCGGACAGAATGTACTAATTTTGCTTTAAGTCCATGTGCTCTTCCTTAGGAAAAGAAGGCAAAGTTGTAAGCCAGGGGGAAGAATAAATTTGTCAATTAAACTCACTTTTGGGGTTCTCTGAAATAACACTTGTATATGGTGGAAGGGCCACTGAGAGACATATACTACCTTGCTTTGGAGGCTATGAAATGGAAACCTGGGTGGGGGCTTATTGTTAATATTTAAAATTCCAGGGACTCTGGTAGAGTGACGAACCTAAAGCAGAAATTTCTGATGTCCTGCTAGTTGTTTGAGACACATTACAAGGTAGAAAAAGGGAATATAG